AGGGTTTATAGGGCTTATGGGGCTTATGGGGCTTATAGGGTTTATAAGGTTGATAGGGTTTAGGGTTTAGGGATGAAGGCTGCAAAGTTTGACAGCCGAGGGTTCCCCCCACACCCTGAACCCTAAACCCCTAAATCCCAATGGGAAAGTTGGGTTTCGGTTGTAGGAATTACTGCTCTGGTTTGGGACAGTAGCCCCTGTTTTAAGTACTTAGGACCCGTCTAGACAACGGTGCACTTCAGACGGTAAGACGTAAACGCTTATTCAAGACTGTGAAGACTGTGGTGACAAAATTGCAGGCTTGTTCAGTGTCTTTTCCTCGGCTTACCCTAAGACTCCAGGTGTACAAAGTCCCGCAATAGCACCCACTTTGGGCTATTTGGAGTCTTAGTGTTTTCCGAGAACCGCATTTTAAAAGGATATGAGGGACCCTACGTCAAGTCCCTGTTTCGGAAACGCGTAAAAAAAAACGTACCAATACTATAAGTCCCATACCCTTGAAGCCAAACCCGTGTCACAACCATCCCCCAAAACCGCATAAACCCGGAAGCTACCCAGCCTCTCAGCAAGCCTGATAGTCCCAAATGGTTTAGGATTTAGGGTTTAGATACACTGAACACTAAAGCCCGCACCCATGCGTCCAACAAGCTGCAAAACCTGACTCATCCTGAAGTGCGGCTCTAAAACCCACATAGTTGACCAACCCCTCCACTGGTAGCACCCTGGTACTTGGAGGCCCGGGGGACTTAGTAAGTAGGTTATAAGTAGAATTATGAGTACCCTAAATGCAGCTACCCCAATTATAACACCACTTATAACTAACTTACTAAGTCCCCTGGGCCTCCAAGTAACACCCTTGTAAGCCCGCAAAACAACCCTGAAGCTGGAAACCCTCAGCCGAAACCCAGGTCCCCGCGCGTAGCGATATCCGGCAGAGCGTGCGAGCAGAATCTGCTCGTCGTCCAGTGGAGTGGTGTCCAGAGGCAGCTTCATCTGACGGGTTTTCAGGTGTTCAAAGCCGAAATGATTAACAAGACTATTCCTTTTTTTTGGCTCCGTATTCTAGAATATATTATACCCCAAAACCCTATTCCAAAAATCTGAGGCCCTTATATGAGTTGGTTACAAGGGAGGGCTTCTGTGTGTATTTGTAGAATGAGAGGAGCCGTCATCCGACACATTGTCCGGGTATACGAACCTTAAAAGGACCAAAAGACTCAACGCGCCCCTCAGCTGGCAGAATTCACGAAATTTAGGGTTTAGGGGTTTAGGGTTTAGGGGTTTAGGGTTTACCTTAAGAACCCAAAACCTACTTTTTTGTAGGGTCCCTATAAATCCCATACTAGGGTTTATAAAAAGAACCTACAAAAAAGTGGGTTTTGGGTTCTTAAGGTTAGGACCAAAAGACCCTTAAAGCTAGGGGCCCTATTACCATTATACTACGAATCCCTATTGTGGTATATGAACCTTAAACTCCGTTAGGGTTCGTTGCGCACTTAAGGAATATCGGGGCCTTGACACTTGGAAAGGGTAGAAGCACTTCGCCTGTGACTCTTCGCCAGAACACATTGCATCCACAAGATCACGCGCGCCCTGGCCGGTCGTCTCGTCAGTTCTTGAGACAAAATCTTCTCAGCCGGATTTCTCTCCTGCTGTTGGCAGTGGTTGTCCATAAACTTCCGAATTCTGCGGCGATAGGGCTGGGACAGCATGGGAGTATCCCTTTTGGGTCCTTATTATAATACGGCACCTAATATTTAGGGTACCCCAAAAGGGACCATGATTTTGAAAACTACCCATATAACAGGCAGGCACGTTTGCGAAACCCTAAACCCTAAACCCTAAACCCTAAACCCTAGACCCTAAACCCTAAACCCTAAACCCTAAACCGTAATCGTGGCTGAGTTATACACCGAGAGTCTGGCCTCCAAGCCTTCTGCGTGCTGCTGATTTTCTCGCACGGGGTCGGTTTGGGGTTTTAGGGTTTAGGGTTTTAGGGTTTTAGGGTTTTAGGGTTTTAGGGTTTTAGGGCTTTAGGGTTCTAGGGTTTAGGGTTTACCTGGACCCCTGTTCCCCGACCATAATCTAAGCGCCCGGCCGAATCTAAGCGTGCACCGGGTTGCTTATGAGGCTTATGAGGGCTTTTTCTCTTGCAAACATACATTTGAAGCTTTAAGGCTTTTGGGTTGGGGTTTGTTGGCTAACATTTGTCCTTCGTTGTGGCTTCCTGATTTGAACTTGGTACGAATGTACCGTTTGGGGTCTGATTCGGTTTAAAGGTTGTGCTGGCTTCGACTTCGCTCATTTTCATCATCATGCGCATCCTCGTCGAGCTCTTCGGAAGTGGTCCGGAGCTCAGTCACGTGACCACTGCTGCATGGCTGCAGCAAGCCATCTCTGTAGCACCCGTGACTGGGCACTATTTGCGGCAACACGCCTGGAAACCATTGAAGCCCTGCCTATAAAATCTTCGGCTTGTGAACAGGAGAAAGTCAGCGGATTTAGGGAGGGAATGGCCCTGTCGTAACATTGAATCAAGTCTATGATGGCGTGATGGAGCGCGTGGATCTTGGGGCGATAGCAGAATAATGGCTTTTTCAAATCCAATAATGCCAACGATGCCAGCTTGCTGTAGCAGCGGAGGAACTTGTTACCATCTTTGATGATCGGGGCTGTTGCTGCTGGTTCCTGGGCTTTGGGGTCATGAACAGGTGTTTGGGTTTAGGCTGTGAAGGAAAGGAAGGTTCAGAAAGAAACAATCAAAACAAATTAATTTGCATATAAAGACAATTACACCAGCCTGCTTAAACATGATGCCATGTGCAGCTCGAAATCAATCCACAAGTCTGCTGCATAAAGACCCTTCATAAAGCCGGAGATCGCCAGAGCTGCTTGAAGGATGTAGTACATCATTTTGTTTTCAGTTCGAGAACAAATGTCATTGTGCAGCTCAGCACAAACAAAGATAATGAACTGAACGATCCGTGCAGTATCAGCAGCCTTTGACCAAGTACCAGCTGGGTACGCCGAAGTAGCATCATGGAACTGCAGTTTGTCCCTTGTGAAAGAAACCAGATGCATCGGCACCTTCCGTGTCTTTCTCCAGTGTGTGTACACCTGGTTCAACTTCTCGATTTGTGCATCCACGGAGTTGCCCTCAGAGCCAGGGAAACATATCGGCAGCATGTAGACAAGGCAGGATGAAGCGAAGTCTTGGCCGACTCCTGCGAGATACACGTGGAACAAATCAACGAAGTAAAACTTGGCAGGTCGGTCCATGTAGGACAAGGATGGGCTGATCATCCCGCCTTCCTGTCCAGGCAGCCATGGAACCTCTGTAAATGTAGGCATACTTGTAAGCCATGCAGGTGTGTTTTTATCAATCTCTTCGAAAGGGGCAGTGACATCCCCAGCTGCACACAACCAACAGCATTGGCCAGTACCCTTGCTTGTTGAAGAAAATGGAGCCTTGCGAGCTGTCGTGAACCATCGGGTTAGGCGTCCAGCACGTGCCTGCATTTTCAAGTCGCCTTTCAAGCCTAGCAAAACCAGTCGCAAAACCCTGCCTTTGAAGGAAACCCCCTCATCGAAACATTCCCTGAGGTCTTCGGCGAACGTAGAAAGCAATGCCTGGAATGCTTCTTCATGATTCTTGTGCCAGGCAGATGGCATAGCAGCATAGAGGTAATGCGTTGTAAAGGAATGGCCCAACAAAGGCAATTGCATCTTGTTGTTGGTCTTCTTCAAAGATCGAACAGCTGGGTCCTTGTTGTTCTTCTTCCCCGAGCCTGAGCCTATGACTGCTGCCCAATCGAAAACCACAAACTCACTTTTCTTATAGCCTCTCCCCCCATCAATGTGTGCAACAATCGGTATGCAGTCTTCCAAAGGAATGTCGCTGTAGCGTGAAGAGAAAAGCTCGAAGTCCGGGTGTATGGCTTTGTAGTTTTGCCAAAATTCCAGTAGCAACTGATGACTGGACTGCACAGTCCTTCCACCCAGCAGCTTGTTCACATGACCGGAATCGGCCATGTATTGAAAGATATCTAAAGGCTTCAATCGCGGAAAACCTTTGATTGCTGCATCCCCATGAGTCTTTCTCAAAGGAATCGGCAAGCTCAGATTGTGCTTCTCTAGAATCATATGCGCTTTTCCCTCGGCATCTTTCTCCGAAAGCTTTGACATTTGATGAAGAAAGCCATCTCCTGAGGCCGTGAGCCCATCGGCTTTGAGCGCCTTCGCCAGACCCACCATCTTGGAGCACGGCACCTCAGCCGGAGGGGTCGTAGCTTTTACTTATATAAGTAATGGAATGCTGGCTATAGACTTGGATTGGTTGTGGGGATGGATCATGCCAGCAAGACTGCCAGCATCAAGCTCACAATCACTGCATCACTGTCTCAGACATGATAGACCCTCTCTTTCCCCCCTGAGCATACATGCGCTGTCGCTTCGGTGCAACCAGGGCCGACTTGAACACAATGTATGTGAAGTATGGCGGGTCAAACACTTGCCGCCCCTCACCCCCAGGATTGATATTGCGATTGCCAGGCCGGCCCTGAAACTCTGCAATTAAGACAGCCTCCATTAAGGAAGCTTCATCCCACGTGGCCCCTGCAAACAGCACTTGCATTTCTGCATACTGGTCTAGATCATAACGATAGCCTGCTGATGCATTTGTCCTCGAGGGCACTTTGTAAAAGCGGAACATAGGATCACCAGTAAGGCCGATCTTGAAGACAGTGGGCCCCAAACGAAGGATACCAGCAACCCTTTCCCTAATGGAGAGCAGAGCTTTGCCTGCACTCAGCAAAGGTCGTGGCAGGCAGAGCTTCACACGATCATCCTTGCCGAGGCCTTTGAGCAATAGCTCCTGTAGTCGCGGTAGATCACGGACCGAAGGCTTGAACATCTCCAGCTGCTTGTAACCTGGTTGTGAGAAGGGTTCGGGTCTGTTGAAAGTGATTTCGGAAAGATGAAGTATACAAAGTGCTGTTGTCATCTGCATGAATCATGCTAGTCTGTTTTAATGGGTCAGATGGAATGTAAATCACCCTATATAGATACCAAGAAGATCCAAGAAAGCTTATATGGTTCTAGTTGTATACTATACGAAAGCAAAACCTTAGGCCCCAACCCCCGAAGCCCATCAAAGCTGTACCAGGTTCAATGCTGCATGCCATGGGCAAGACCAGCTCGTGCACCCAGAGTGGAACAGCATTATTTCCGGATTGTTGCGGGCTCTTGGGTGGTTTTAGGGTTGTGCTTCCTAGTTTAGGAATGGAGCCGTTCAGGTGGTTGGGATTTTCTGAGAACCCCCCGACTAGTTGAAACCTGAATGGACCTTGCACATAGTAATCCCTTATAAATTTGCTGCTCCCAGGGGCTGTCCTCATCTGCTTCTTGTTGTTCCACCAGAGCAGGTCGTTCAGCGAAGGGGTCATCGCCGGGTCCTTTCCAAGCAGGCACAGCTATCAAACCCTAGCCTAGAAGAGTATCGAAGAAGCACAGGCACACACACACAGACACATACATGCAGACTGTCGAAAAGCAACCCCAGCAGGCCTTGTGTTTTGGGAACACTGAGTGAACATGGCGCGCTCAACTTGCGACTGCCATCTTGACAGAACCCTAGCAACTCTTCTAGCCACTCCTCAGGCTGTGTCATGCCCCAGCTGTAGCAAAAGCTTGAGACAGATCGAGTCATCAGACAGGATGTGTAGCAACAACTCCACCAAATCAGATTGGCCAGAAATGCAGCAACTCCGGAAGCAAAGGCTGGGCCAAGCACACCACTACCGATGGCGTCGGCCATGAACTTGGCCGTCTGAGTCTCTGTCGTATCCCATGGACCTGGCATTCTGTCATTAATTATGTAGCTAAAGTCAGCTAGAAGCTGAAATGTTCAAGATATCCCAGCGGCAGTGTGCATGCATAGTCGACACAAGACCGAAGTGCACAGGTAATTTCTTGCGCACGAGGCTCCCGCGTGCATCCAGTTGTTTCAGGGCATATTCACAGCAGCAAGTATTGCTGCAGAAAGACCGATCGAGAACATGTTAGGCTTCGATCTTGCACATCTGATAAATTCCCACCGTGTAGCTGTACACGATAGGTTCTCCACAAATTGTAGATAACCCCAACACATTCTGTGTTTCATTGAACCCCATTTGTAGCTCCTGAGCCCTACTTTCAATCCTGCGGCTCCTCCTTCTTCTTCGGCTTGCGAAAGACTGGCCTGGTCAAACAGTAGCAGCCCTCATAGTTCTGATGCAGCAAGGTACTTGATTAGTGTAGCCGACTGCACATCTTGGATCCTAGAACATGCCCAGCCATTCCACATGCTAACTGTTAACGGTTGCTCAATGGACTATTCAGAAATCACTTGCTGAGACAGTGGCCGGCAGGTGCGCTCCAGACCCGTCCACATGCAGCACCTTGCCCAGGAACTGGGAGGGGCTAATGTTTTCTGAGGTCCGGGTAGTTTGTTTTCAACGGGCAAGATAGGTGCTTTTCACTCCAAGGTCCAGGCAGTTTCTTGCCCTCGGTTGTAAGATCCAACACGAGCTTGGAGCCCCTGGGCAGAACCCACGGATCTTTGTTTACACCGGTAGGGTGCAAGGGCTTGACAACAGGTTATTTGTGGACTAGGAGCTCAAGGGATGTGGTATCCAGCTGCTTCGTGTGGAGCTTGGCCAGGCTTTCAGCCATTTTCTCATAAAGCTTTTCAGCCATCTTGGACATTGCATCAAGCTTGGTTCGAAGCCTTAGGCACATAGCAGAACCCAAGCCACCAGTAATGTATTTACATCAGGCTAGCACATACTTCCACACAGTCAGAACGACAAATGCAATGTGTAAGTCCGGGGTCTCTTCGGCACGGTCCTTCTTCTCTGGAGGAACTGAAGGCAGCTTATCAATGAGGTTGGAACACTTCTCCTGCACCGATAGAAGCTCCTGCTGCTGGATGCGCAGCTTGTCCTCCTGGGCACACAGTCACAATTATTAAAGTAGCAAGCTCAGTGGCTGATGTAACAATGACAAAATCTTTACAGATGCACATAATGGAGACCAAGCAAACCCTCACACAACTAGACCTCCAAGATTAGCTAATTTCTCAACAAGCACCAACCACTGTACCCACCCTCCCAGGCCTCGGTTTTGGCGTTCTCCACATCACTGGCAGTTTGCAGGCCCATGGCAACAGGGGTGCAGGCATTCTTGTCCAGGCCAGAAACCATCATAGGTCCAGTGCCCTCAGCTTCAGCCGTTTCTTCTACACTCTGTGTCTGCCTCAAGCGCTTGAGACCCTTGACACGTGTGCGGCGCCAATAGTACTTGATGTTCTTGTCGACCAGGTCGGTCCTAGGCAACATGCACATGAAGGGTCAGTGTGCTTACCCTGGACAAAGTACACGTTTGGGTGCATGCGGCTGTGTTTTACCATGGCACAAAACAAGATCGTCCCCATTGGCAGGGTCGTTGCACCATGCCACCGTCTGGTCGGCCCGGGACCTAAGTTCAAGCAGTGAAAGAGAAAGAGAGAGAGAGAGAGAGGGAGATAAAGTGAGTGGGGGAAGGAGAGACAGAGACAGAGACAGGGAGAGAGAGTGACACAAAGAGAGACACAGATACTAAAATAAGTAAACAAACTACATACATACCTACACAAGTACGGAGGAAGTACCACATGTTACCCAGGAAGGTTCCTGAATGTCATGGTCAATTCGGTTGCCTTGCCTAGGTTGTTTGATTTGTATTACAAAGACGGAACGAGCTAGGTACACACTGATACAGGAATGTGTAGCGAAAACGAGACTGCAGAGAGTAAACTTGACCATTACATCATTAGATGCTCCGAATGGGGCATTGAACATGGGAACAGCTCAATATGAGAGACAGAAAGAAATCGAGGACGATAGAACCAACAACCATATCGAAGCCTAAGGGACCCCGGGTTTGTTTGAGGGCTGCGGGCATTGGGATTGTGTGGGTGGATATACACTTTAGGGCAGCTGGTGTTCAAAACAGACTCCTGAAAGGGGTTTTGTAATCTAGCATCCGGATGTTTCGGGGGTGTCGTACCTGTAGGGTTTACACAGGGTTGGCATGTTTCTGTACAAATGTATATCTTCCTCACATATGTCATGCAAGTCTAGGACCATTGTGTATATTTACATATGTGCATTTGAGTCCAGCTAAGGCTTTTATAGGGTTGCGCAAAGGTATTAAAGCTACCTGGCTTTGTGCACTCAAGATGCTGGGAGTAGCTCAGCTGCTTCTTCATTTCTTCCGGGGTGTAATACCCGCCCTCCTCGTCGAGCTGGTTGGGCGACTCGGAGACTTTCTTCAGCATGAAGCGCCGCACGAACTGATCCTGCAACGACTGTTTGAGGCATCCTAAGGTCATGTAAACTAGGCACATAATTCAGAAGTCTATGTAGGTACAGAGGACCAAACCAGGCAGCATCCTAGCCCCTATGCATAATTTTAATTATATAGTTAATAGAGTTTGTGGACCGTATCCTTGTCCCCACCAGCTTTGATAAACTGCTGGAACATCTCCTCTTTGGCCTTGCCCTTTTGAAGAAACACTTCATGCATCTCTTTAGGTACATCCAGCCGCCCCGACGCAGGCTTCGGGCTGCAAGCCCGCCCGAATTTCCCTCGCCAGTTGTTGTACTCTTGGATAGACAGGACAATGTCCCCCACTTTGGCTGTCTCACGTTTGGCACCCTGATTCTAAAGGCTCACAAACCCCAAACCGAGCTAGGATATTAGATTGTACCGACCCAATAGCAGCATCAGTGCAACTAGCTAGCCACTATCTATAGGAACTATATTAATTATCTGAAACCACCTTGCGCCTTCTTGGCAGCATCGTCGTCTCCCTCGAGATCAAGCACCTCCAAGGACTGACGGAGCCCTGGGGGGGAGGGTGTTTGGGGTGACGTACTTGGTGTCGGTGTTGGGGTCCCAGATTGGCTCGCGGGGAGAGCGTCCATGGACTTCGAAGTTGGTGTCCGGAAAGCGTGTGTCTTCGATGGCGGTGTCTGGCACAGAAGTGTGTACCAGGATTAAGCTAATTAGGGGCCAAGGTTTATTGCTTGGAATTCTGGGTTTCTTTCGGGTGAATTCAGAGCTTAGATCGAGGGTTTCAGGTGGGAGGTCCTAGCTGGGTTTTTTGGGTCACATATGCCTCAAGAGCCATAGTGACCAAAGTGGGCATGAGGTTCTTGACAGGGGTCGCAGGTGGGCACTGTGTCTCAGCAAACATCAGCAAGTTCTTCTCCAAGTCGGCATCAGATAGCTCTGGGCCACCCAAGGCCGCATCAGCCTCATGTCGGGTCTACATTGTACAGGGCAAGTGAGGCTACCAGAATATTTATATTTACTTCGATGTTGACCTACGTAGCAGAGGCAGTCCTCTATATCAACCAACACCTTGAGTCTGTTCCTAGTGTTAAAGACCTGGAATCAGAAGACAAGTTAGACCTTATGCACATCGGCCAAGACATGTATACACGAATGTATATGTGAATTACTAGTTTAAAAATAAGCCTGTGCACACATGCATGCATGCAAGCCTAGGTACCCAGAGGCCTACCTACATAGATACATGCCGGCACAAACACATGTCTTTTTTTTGTATGTACGTATATGTAGGTATATAAGTAGTATAAGACTAACGGACATGTGTGCATGCAGAACTAAAAGAGATTAGCAAGTCATACCAGGCTCTGATATAGTCTCTGTCCAAAAACTACTTTGGTAACTTGCCTGTGTGTGTGCATGCAGACAAAGAGCTGCAACTAGATAACAGAGACATATACAGACATTGTCATATAAAGTACAGAAAACACACACACACGTATACTCACAACTTGATGTGTGGGTTTAAGTTTGGAGATATGTGTCTGAATACACATACACACAGAAGCTTGCTTATAATGCAGCCACAATCTATGCATGGCATTTATACAGCACAAAAGCCATGGGAATAGAAGCACACCGGGCATGGCTACCATCATTCAAGTAACATTGGTTGCCGCAGGCATTTCATCATCACTCGCCACAACCATATATGCATCCATGACAGCAACTGGGCTGGCAGGTTCCACCGGCTGGCACATCGGCTCCTGCTTGCACTCGGTCTTCTCCAACTTGGTAGCCGGCTGCTTCTTGATGTCCTGGACAGAGTGGGGACATGCTCGTGCAAGACATAGAGGGACATATAAATAGAGACAAACATAGCCTCAGATAGATACATCGTACCTCTATACATACATATGTCCATATATACATACAGACTAGCAGACACACATACATACGTACATATACACACATTGATACATATAGGCAGATAGGCATACAGACCTACATTCATTCATAGATACGTACACATAGAGACCCACACATATACATGCATGCATACATATATACAGTCCGACAGACACAGGCAGGCAGGCAGGCAGGCAGGCAGCCAGACACACACACACACACAGACACACATAGAAACACACATCAATACTTAGTTGTATAAGACATACATACCTAAACAAAAGCATACACAAAAACCCACATATACGTGTCTACATGTAGATGTATCTACAGACACACACACACACATATATATATATATATATAGATGTACATACATATGTGTGTGTATGTGTATATATATAAATACATCTACATGCATGTGTATATATATATATAAGCATTCATATACATATATATATATGTACATATTTATATGTAAATGCATATATATGTATAAAGAAACACATATACATTCACACACACACACATATATATATATATGTATACATATATATACATATATATACATATATATATATATATGAATTCATATATACATATATATATATATACATATATATATATATATCATATACGTATTTAAAAATATATGTATGTACATATATATATATATACATATAAATATAAATATATATATATATATATATATACGTGTTTGGACAAATATAGATAGACACACATATAGACCTTAAACCCTATAGGCCCTATAGACCCTAAACTTATGCCGACGCTAGGACTATGATACGCTACACATGTTTTCGGGGCTAGAAGGGCATGCTGAAAGTGAAACCTTCGAGTCCTCAACCATGAGCTCTTGGGATAATTACGGGCCTTAATGATTAGAATAGGGTTTAGGGTTTAGGGTTTAGGGTTTTTAGTGTTGCGGGTACCCTAAAACCCTAAGCCCTAAACCCTAAACCCTAAACCCTGTAAACATACAACCTCAGGAATCCAAAGCAAGGTCTTAGCAAAGATTCAGGCCCCGATGTTACAGCTTAGCCCGAGAGCTCTGTTTAGGGTTTTAGGGTTTTAGGGCTAAGTCTATCCTCGATGAACTGGGCAATCTGATCTGGATCATCAGGCAAAGCAGCTAGCAGCTGTGTTGCATCCATGCTACTTAGAGCTGCAGCTAGGGACTCACACGACCATTGCCGGGAGGTCAGGCGCGCCGGCTTCAATGACATTGTAGGAACTCCGGAGGCTACAAAGAACCCCCACAGACAAAAACTGTCTCGCACACAGCCGCCTCGGAGGAGCCGGGAACACCGAAATGGTACAGCTCAGGCCATACACAATGTATGGTTTTTTTTGGGCGTTGCATGGTTTTTGGTTGGGCGTTGTGCGGGTAAATCTGGGCGTGCAAATCTAAGCGTGTTTTTTTTTTGGGCGTTGTACGGGTATTCTTGGGCGTTGTACGGGTGTTGTTGGGCGTTGCACGGGTAAATCTGGGCGTCTATGGTTTGAAGCCAACTAAAACCATAAAAAACACCATGGTTTATGGTATGGGAACTACGGAACCATTAGAAAACTCCTGAAATCTAGGCGGTTCCCTTCTAACTTGTCTTGCAAACACCTCCCCTGCTGGCTTTGCTGCTCTGAATCTAGGTGCATCCCTTCTGGAAGGCTCTAGAGATTCCCGAGCTTTTGGGGCCGATCCAAGTTCAGAGCCCACAGTGCCCCAGTCTAGGGTCCTATCCTCTCTCTCTCTCTCTCTCGCTTTCTCTGTCTCACTCACTCACTCACTCACTCTCTCGCTCTCTCTCTGTCTGTCTCTGTCTCTTACTCTTTATCTTTCTCCCTCGCTCTCTCTTTATGTATATATATATATGTACACATAAAGTGCTGTACCAAATCTTACGGGAAAGAGACTTCTTTAAAGGGCTTGTCTAGTAGGTCTGAGATCATATAATACATCCTTAGAGGGTTTAGTCTGGGTACACCAAGGGATTCCTTCCTAAGGCCACGAAAAAAGCCACGGACATGCTCTTTTTTGTTCAGCATTGCAGGTGCTTCTTAGCCTACAGAGTTCCACCTACTTGTGAAGCTTTCTCTTGTAGAGCTCATAGTTCCCTAGGGAGGAGTGGTGCCCATTGGCTTGGGATCTTGCAGGTCTTGGAGCCATAGAGGTACTGGACAAACTCTGTCATCTTAGCCGAAGGCCACAGATCATCCCAGGGCCAAGTGGCCCAGATATCCATAGCATCACGGTGCTGCAGATCATCATCTTCACTCACACGGGGTGTGAACTTGATCAAGCTATGGAGCTCTTTCGCGATCTTTTGCCCAAAGGCTGCTGTGTACTGCCTTAGATGCAAACATAGATTTTACATCGAGCTCCGAAGACCAAAAGCAACCCAGGATGGCACACACTAAGACTTCAAACCTCAGGATACGACCCAGTAGTCCGGAGGTCGAACGTGCCCTTGAAGCGGCCCCTGCCTTCCTTGTCGATCCATCGTTGTACCGGAGGTCCACGACCATGTGGGTTCCTCTCGCCGCGCTCGGCAAGCACCTGGGCACGCTTTAGCTTTGCGGTCCAGAACTTGGCAATTGCCCGGCTGTTGGACCACAACACTGTCGGCTTCGGGGTTCGAGACTCATAGTGCCACATCCAGAACCGGCATTTGAATACCTGTCTCAGGGGTAAATGTTGCTTCTGGGTTCTATAGATATGTGGTTTAGGGTTTATAGGGTTTAGGGTTTAGGGTTTAGGGTTTCGTGCCTGCAGTTGAGCACAGACATACTGCATTCTCTCTGTTTCAAAGAGAAGTGAGGAATTTGGTTGTTCCACCACCCACGTCCCCATAAAGGCACTTGTTGCCAGCAGCAACAGGGCCACCCTCAGGGAGCTTGTCGACTACATGTATTCAAGCAGCCTAAGCAATCCAGATCTAAGTTAAGCCCCCAAATTCCTAAGTATACCAGAACTCCTTGCCCAACACATGTAGGACCTTTCCGGAGCCTGAACCCGTAGCGGCCTGGCTGCCATCATGTTTGAATTTTGAACTGCAGGGATGTACGTGCACCCTTCCGGATTGGCCATTGACCTGCCTGTGCTGCCCCGGCTTGTCAAAACAAACGAACTGCAATGTACTCCTAGCCAATGCAGATATCCACGCTTGTCCCCACGCATCGTGGCCGTCAAGAAAGCCCTGAGATCCGAACATGGTGCAGCAGAGACCCACGGCACACGATCATGGCAGGACATGGGTACTACA